ATACTTTCTTACAAACAAATAACCACATGATGTATTACTGTAATATATAGAATGAAGCTGTGAAAGATACATATACTGTTGTTTACAGTTGTTTATCACCTTGATTAATCCACTATTCTCAAGAGTACTCTTCTTGAGACAAAGAGAAATTTCTATATATATGCTCAAGAGTTCTGTATTTTAAAAATGATGGACAAAAACCGTTTTATATGCAATCTTTCTGAAAACCGCTACCTGTGAAACCATTTGTTGTCCATGGACATTTGTAGAACCACTTTTTTTTTTCTTCCTAAGATACCATTTGTTTGGTCCTACATGATACACATTTTTAAAGTTGGTTAATAGTGCAATCAATTTTTTTTGTATGTCCAACCATTTTTTTCTGATCGATTTGATGTAATTTTGATTTACTTGAGATTGATTAAGGCGATGAGACAAACATAAGTGAGTTAGGAGGTCGTGGAGTACTGGAGTGCACACTGACAAATGTTGCCCCTATCACTTTAGATCGCCATAAGGCGGGGGTCAAAGGGCTGTGCCCCCTTGCAGGGTTCGAGGGGTAGTGCCCCTAGCAGGGTTTCAAGGGGCAAAGCCCCTTGAAATTTATGAAAAATCGAACTTAGTGAAAATTTCACCAAGTCTAGGTAGTGGATTTGGAGATCTAATCCTTCTGATCAAAGATCTAAAATGTGCATCCAGACTTAGGAATTTGACTAAGTCCCCAAAGATCTAGACTTAGCGTCAAAACATAGAAAAAATATGTAAGTCCTTAACTCTGGACCATAGAATCATAAATTTGGACTTTGCGACATAGGAACTCTGATTCCGTTGTAACTGCTCTTCAATCTTATGCACTAACGGTATAATTGCTTAACCGCTCATAACCGTCGATCGATTTCTCATTTAAATACATAACATGTGATTCTAGATTAACCTAAGGCATTAAAGGGGCGAAATACAATATTTGGAAAGTGTTTTCCAATACACAATCTAGAAACTTATCCAAGTATTATATAACCACAGACCCATATTTCTAACAATATTTAGTATTTGAGATTAATTTCTTATATATAGGTTTATAGGAAAATTCCGTTAGGAACCCAAAATTGATTAGAATCCCGAGAACTAGTCACAACACATATGTGTCCCTTTTTAGGATTAATATTCATCATAAATCATTTACAACATTCATATTCTTAATGAGTATGTCAAGTCACACCGTAGATAGTTATTGGGTTTCTAATCAATTTTAGGTTTCTAACGTAACTTGTCCCTATATAACTATGAAATGGTTGATAAAATAATCAACATAATATTTAATAATGTAGGGTCTATAGAGTTCCATTTGTATACGATTTTGGGTTTATATATATATATATATATATTGATTATTATACAACCATTGACATTTGTGCAACCAATACAACCCAATCTAACATCTCAATTTATTGGGTTGCATTGGTTGTACAAATGCGACGGGTTGTATTTGAAACAAACTCTCTCTATATATATAAATAAATAAATAAGCACAAAAGATAGTTATATATAGGAAGATAGTTATATATAGGAAGATAGTTATATATATATATATATATGTATATATATATGGGTCTAATTAAATGAGAATTAATTAGTTTCGGTAACCGTGAAGTCTAATATGAGCCAATAATTTTATGATATTAATTGTATTACCTTAATTAACAAGTAAATGACGTTTTAGTAAAATGATTAATTATAATTTAAATATTTTTCTTATTTAATAGTTATCAAATTCGGTTTCCTTAATTATCATGAATTTGGTTTCCTTAATTATCTCAACAAAATTGTATCACAGTCGTGTATCACATTGTGGTTGTGTGTGGCCTAAAACTCATATCATATCTATTATCAACTCATGTTCAAAACGTTATCACAATGGTATCAAACTGTATAACACAATTGATTTTGTGTCTTATTGTCATAAATTCTTGGGTATCACAGCGTGTATCATATTTGTTTTATGTTTTATTGTTAGAAATTCTTGATGAGAGAGAGAGGGGGAGAGAGGAGAGAGATTTTAAAAAGACTAATTTACCCCTATATATTATTAGTAAATTTAAATTATTTGAAAATTAATGAATAATTACCAAAATTAATGAATAATTACAAAAAGTAATATGTTTAATAATAACCATTAATTATTAATAATGTGTGTTTGAAATTAAATCTCACAGTTATCACAAAAAATCAAGTTCTTCCTTGATTGTACCCCTATATATATATATATATATATATATAGAGAGAGCGAGAGAGAGAGAGAGAGAGAAAGAGAGAGAGAGAGGGAAGATCATATGTTAACCAATAATTTTGTGTTAACTTTGCAAACCATGTCAACCAATCAAATTCCATTCTTCTAGTAGGTTTATGTCATGTTCACAAGTTAATTACAAGGGTATTTCAGTAAATTGATTTGATATGTAACTCTCAAACAATTAATGGAGAGTTACAAATCATCAAATCCCAAAAAATATGCATTTATAATATATATATATATATATATATATATATTTTAATCTTCATCTTCCATGTTCATTGTTTTATGAGTTTTTAATTCGCATAGGAAACAATGTAGTAAAATTTTTGGTATCGATCAAGCTAATAAGGATAAACGCAATAGAAAAGAAATCGACAACAGTGAGAAGATTAAAATGGTTTATGATGACAATCGGAGTTCGAGTTCGGGAAGTGAAGAAATTAACTAAAGCGAATGTCTTGGTAATAGATTTATATTTTTATTAGATTCGTTTTAATCGAAATTATGTTCATTATGATGTGTTGTGTTTTTTATAATTCATGTTGTATTGATAGCTTTTTTCTTTAATTGCACCACGTGTTCATAGCATATATGTTATGTGTTCATATTATTTCTACGATATTTCTGAGATACTATTGTTCACAAGTGTCCATATTGTATTCATATGTACACTAGCTACATATCTCAATACTGTCTCGTTTCTGAATGTGTTCATAATGAAGAAATTATTATTCACGAGCTGTTCATATTGTATTCATATCTTTTTTTTTATTTATTTCCTTTCGTGTAGCAGCTATTCTAATTATGTTCATATTGTGTTCATAAATGCTATGCAGTCAAAGTTCATATATATGTCAATTTTTGTTCGCATTTTACATAATGGTTCATATATATATATATATATATATATATATATATATATAGGGGTCTATTCAAGGGAGAACTGAGTTGTTTGTGGTAACTGTGAGAACCAATATTAACCACAAATCAATGGATAAATTAGGAAATTTATAAATTTGGTAATTTTAAATTAAAATCTTAATGCAAGGATATTTTTGGTATTTTAAAACTCTCCTCTCTC